GCTGCATTTCCTGTTCGCAACACTTCGGATATAGGGTAACAGAGCAAAGTGGACATCGAACACCAATTGGGTATATCTTGTTTGGTAACCTTACGTTGTCTGATTGCAAAAAGAGAGTACTGGCGACGGGATTATCCTGTAACACCCGTCACCAAATCGTCAATGACCAATGCCATTTTAAGTGGATGCTTTCTCACGGCGGATATTCGTTACGAAAATAAATTTGGATTTAAACCAAAAATGAACCACGGAGGGAAATAACAGGAACCGCTTAGTACAGTTTTGGGTCGTCACTGTGAAGTGGGCCGACCAAATGTTGTGGTAAATTTTCGATATGGTTTCCATACTTAGTTGACTATGCGCTAAAACCTCTTCAGGAGAAGCGAAGTCATCTTGCAATTGGAGTAAGTGAGCACAAGGAATGTTCAACAGAGGCTGCATATTAAATTTATAAGGCTTTCTTAACCATACTGCATGAAAACAATAATGAAAAACGATAGATTTTGAATTAAAAAGTGGTCACTTACACGAAGGCCTTGCCAGGGCAACTGTCCTTTTAGAAAATACATAAACACATATCCAAGCGATTCTATATCGTCTCTTCGCGACTGTTCGTATCCCGCGTGGGCGTTAATGCTTGCATACCTTGCAGTTCCTGTTAGGTTCTTGTCGTCGCGAAACGGTATATGCAATCGAGTTCGGCTGTCTCTGTCAAAGTAACACAAGGTAAAATAAGATTGAACAACAAACCTGTATTTTTTAGCCAAACCGAAGTCGACAAGAAATAGCCGATTACAACGCTGACCGATGCCCATGAGGAAGTTGTCTGGCTTTATATCGCGATGGATAAATGTTTTCGAATGAACATATTCAATGCGCCACAACATCTGCTCGGCCAACATCAAAACCGTCTTCATCGTGAACCTCCGCCCAACATAATTAAACAGATCTTCGAGGCTGGGGCCAAGTAAATCCATAACCATTGCGCGATACTCGTTTTTTACTCCATCAGAGCCAAACCAATGGATCCTGGGAACAGCAAATGCATTCTGAAGGTGATATGTAAGGATAAAACGAACCTGAAGGACTCGGTAAACCCGATTTTCATAAAAGAGTTGTGGGTGTCTGGCGGTAGCCGGCTCTAATTTCACAGCCACCTCTTCACCGTTGGAAATATTAATGCCCAGATATATATCTCCAAAAGATCCTGCTCCTATTTTGCGAATAAGTTTCCACCGCTTTGCGACTACGAAGTCTGTCGCGCTAGCAGAGCCAATGTGCTCCATTGCAGTACGACTTCCGCCGAAAAATTTTGTTTAGGTAGCCCCAATTGAAAGAAATATAGCTGAACCAAAATCCCGGCCAGAAATCAAAAAACCCGACCGGTAAGGTAGTTAAAACAAATTCATTCTTGTGAGAGTTACTCTAGCTTTTGAAGATTGTTGTCTTCGTCTCGTATCTGAATGGTTTGCTGCCCGTTAAGTGAGGATCGTTACAAACGGAAAACGCATCCTCGCATCAGATGTAAATCGCAAGATATTCATTGACATTTGATAGCCTTCGGC